CTTACAAACAAGAGTTAAACATCACTAACCCTTCTTTTCCCTTTCTCTTCCCTTCTAAGCATGAAATCCAAACTTAACTTAAGAGAAAAATAAGAGCTTTTGTTGAACATATACATTTTATTTTAACTAAAGTGAAAAGTCCCTCTAATTATCATTTAATCAAGTATTGGAAAGACTAAGGGACAATAAATTATACCTTACGAAGGATCAAAATAGAACAACACACCTTATGTAAAAAAAAAATGGTATTATTATCCACAAATGAAAAGGTGAAAAAAAATATCATGAATCAATAATAAAGCTAAGTATTAATCTTTGGCATTTTAATTTGATGTTTGTTTATTTTTCTATACATGCCTAGTAATTTGTCAATCTAACTACCATGAATAATGAATGCCAATATTTTCATATGTATAAGCCTTAGTGAAACATTTAGAAAAAATAATAATAATAAGCATGCATATCTACCATATTGATGGATTATTAAGGAAGAATACTAATTTGATGTTGAATTGTTAATGTTAGTGCAAATTATTTTTAATAATAAATAGGATCTAGCTACATTTTCTCTCTTAATCAAGTCTATTTTTTTTGTAAGTAAGAATGTTTTCATGATCTAAATTATTGTCTATGATGCATTATTTATAGGCATTGATTTAAAGCAATTGTCATTAACTTATTATTGCATAATCTGACAATTTCACCATGTTACTAGTTTATGATTAAAAAAAAAGGATAAAAAAGAGAAATTAGATTATGTATGATTTAATCATTATTACATAATGATGCATGCTATTACATAGTTCATTAACATGATTAAATGGTTAAATGAATTAGAAAAAAGTTTGACTTTTTAGGTTAAGAATACAAGATAAAATGTGTTTGAAAAGCACAAAATTAAAATACTTATATTTTGAAGTTTCATTCTCTTCATTCATATCATCATAATCACTAGTAAAAAAAGAAATAAAATGGCAAAAATAATATGAAGACACCTTTTAAGGAAAGAAATACTTGACACAAAAACTCTAAAACAATGGTGCTCTTCAAAACTATGGTCTCCTTGAATGTAACTTGAAACACTTTCCTAAGGATCAAAATGGTAAAGGTTGCCAAAATCAAAATTTTCTTTTATGTTTGAGAATAAAAAACCATGTAATCTTCACGTCAAAATCTTTGGTATTGGATTTTAATTAGGGGAACGATAATGTGAATTATTGCACATGCACTAACGAGCATGATACTTGGTGACATATTTCCCAACCTTGCTATGCTTAAGTTCTAGCTAACCTAATAAATCATGATGCAAATCCTTGATAAATTGATATGAAACACTTTACCTACTTGTGTAAAACACTTTATCTTTTACTTTGGATAATTAGTATTTTATGTCCAACAATTGAATAATAATCATGCCTATGATAGCAATGAAAGGTAGTTATGGATCTCACAATAATTTATCATTTCCTTCTATGTCCTGATAAACATCTAAACAATAGAGTATTTTTTAATTAACTTATTGTCTTTTCACTTATAATCCTTCCTTTCATTTTCACCCAAATCATACAATGTGTAAGGCAAGTAAGTTTTTCTGTGCAATATAAATATCTTATCTTTTCTTAACTCTCAAATAATTATTCAAATATGTTAAAATTATCTTTGGATAAGGGAGAAGAGAGATAAAAAATATAAAGTTAGGAGATATGAATCTAATAATAACAAGTGATATAAATTATAAGAGTTGATAACACTTGATTTGAGTTCTTTATGAGATCTAGTTCAAACTTTAAATAGGTCAGTTACAAAACTTAATTTAAGAAATTCAATAAGTTTAAAAAGTACAAGTTCAAAACACTTAGATTAACCATCCTAATAAAAAAGATAAAAAAAAATTTATGAATTAAAAAAAATCCTTTAAATCAATCTTAAATCTAATTATGTCATGAGTTACACTTATCTAAAATAAAGTTATTATGAATTTTTTTTTTTACTATAAAGTTGCAAAATAAAGACTTTGAATCATAGACCTTATATAAACATGTTTTATTTCTCTTCAATATTGTTATCTTGTGTAAAAATATTATTTTTTAATTAATTAATATATTTTAATAAATTTTAATTTTTTTAAATTTTAATGTACCATAAATATTATTAATTCTCTAGGTCAATATATTTATTTTACAGAACAATATAATCACTTGAATTATTATTTTCATAATTACACAAAGCAATTAACATAATTAAATATTAATTAATTTCTAATAATTAATTACATTTATAGAAACATGGTTGACACAAAAAATTAATTAACATTTAATGGTCTTAATTACCTTGTGTATCTCTTTCCCTCTTTTCTGTATTTTGTTATTTTAGGGTCTGTTTAGTTTTAAGAAATATTTTCTATTTACATTCTTGAACATAGTTTTTATTTTAAAATTTTTAAGATTTAAAAAATGTGTTTGATTTAACTTTTTATTTTTTGTTTTAAAATAATATTAAAAATGCATTTGATTTAACTATTTTTTATAATAGATTTATTTATTTTTTTATATAGTTTAAAATTAACCATTAATATTTTATTAATAAATAATTTTCATAATAAAATTTTTATAATATATACCTTTACTAATGTCAATTTTATTACAATATTTATTTAAAAAATTTAAATACTATTATTATTTCATTTTCAGACTAAAAAATAATAAAAATATAAAATTAATATAACTATAATTTAGACTTTGTACGATGCACAAATTTTTTATAATATATATTTATTAATCTTAATAAAAATAAGTTTAAGAAAAATTAAAAAGTGTATATTCTTCTTACTTTTATCTTATTTAATTATGAGTATTCTAATAATGTGTATGTTTACTCTTACGTTACAAAAATTATTAAATTTAAAAATAATATATAGGATACTGAAAGCAATTTTCTTTATTTTTTAATTTTCACTAACCGAAGCATTTTATATATTCAATCAGTATAATTTTTATTTTTACAAGATTCATATATAAAGGATGACATCCATATCATACAAAAATTAAACATCGATTCATAAAATAGAATAACATTAAACCTATATGAAAATTGAGAAAACTCATATGCAAAGATATAAAAAATAATAATGCCTATTAAAATTTCAATAATAGAAACTATACGAAAATTGAAAAAGAAAAAAAGTAAAGAATAAAGATAAAAAAAAAAAAATACACCCAATCTTGCAAGAATGACAAAAGTAAGAAACTTTGTCAATGTGTTTCAACAATAAATAAATAAAAAAATATGGAAAGAAAAAAAAAAAAGAACAAATATAAAAATAAAATAGAAGAAAGAAAGAGAGAATTATCTATGACAACTAATACTTAATCAAGAAAGATAAAAAAAAAACGTGTAGTTGCCTGAAAAAAGAAATCGTGATTCAGTGAATATAACATGATCTAATTAAAATTAGATAATATTACAATGATTACATAACAATTTTTATTTTTCTTTTTTTAATTGTTTCTATATTTTAATAAAATAATATTGAAAACAAGTTTTTCGTTTTTAAATTGAATTGAATTTTGAAAATATTTTTAAGAAAAATATTTTTTAAAATGTAACTAAACATATTTTCTCTTCTATTTACTATTTTTATTAAATATGAGCAAACTAAACATAACTTTAATTTTTTAATTTTATTTTTAAGTTTTATTCTTTTAAATATTCAAGGTTTATTTATTTATTTTTTACTTGTATTCTTATTAAATATAGATGAATTTTAATTTAAACAATTGCCTTACATTCTTACATGCTTTTATAATTTATTTCAATAAAGCATATAAAGAAAAATTATAATTATATATAACTTGTGAGAAGTTAATGTAAAAAAAAAGTATTAAAGATATATGTGAGACTATCTTAGTCAAAATATGGTAATATAATTGTATCAATTAAAACTTTTTAATTTATCTAAAAAAATTAAATAATAAAACAAAAAAAATTATAATATAATTACATCATTTAAACCTTCTTAATTTATCTTAAAAATTATTAAATAATAAAATATAAAAAACTGAAGGAATAATTATAAGATACTGACATGAAAAAATATATTTATTGTACATTAAAGTTAAAAATAGGGACATAAAGAATTATATTTATTACTCTTAAAATAAAAAAGGTTGACCTAGATAATTAGTTACGTTTATTGTACCTAAAAGTAGAAATAAAGCCTAAAGCTGATCAAATATATCAATTAATAAGGAAAATATATTTACAGTCCAAAATAAACAGATTGAAGTCGAATAAAATATATTTATGTCAGGTTCATCATTCAGATTATTTATTTTGTAGCATTCCAGGTAAAATTTTATTACAAAGTCATCTTCAGTTTATATACAAATGATGAGAATTTTTTATTTAAATTTTTTAATATATACTAATTATTATATGATATAAAAAAGTTGAAAGTTCTTAAAAATCTTTTATTTAATATCCAAATAAGTATTTTGAATAAAATTATTTTAAATGGTCTCGACAATTTACTTAAATATTTTTATTCAATACGGTAAAGTATAATTTAAATTCTTTTGACATCAGTAAGAGTACTAAGTGAGGTATTATACTCATAATTTTCAGAAGTTCAAAAGAAAAAAGAGCAACAGCATCTCGCATTCATCGTAAAAAAGGTAATTAAGGGGTCATCTCGAAAAAAATACATATAAAAAGGATTCGTTCCTCCTCAAACTTTAATACAACTGGCTAAATTAGAAGGGTTTGTGAAATGTCCATTTCAAACCCTAAAAGAAAAATAAAATAAAATCTCAGTTTGATAATTAACAATTAAAAAATCTTAATCGCAGCCAATAGGATTTAGGAGGGACAAATATTAAAAAATGAACAAAAAAGTTGACTAATTATCATCCAAAACGGCGTCGTAGACTGCATGGAGGCTTAGAGGGACAAATGGAAGGTTGTTTGCTAGACAAATAGCAGCTTTTCTTTTCTATTTTTCTACTTCTTCTTCTTCTTCTCTCTCTCTCTTTGTTAACCTCTTCATTTTTTAATTTCTCATTCTCTCTTCTTTCTTTCTTTGGCTATTTCTGAATATATATAGTTTCTTCTTTCAAACACACAGCATTGAAACAAAAAATGATCTTCAAATAGCATCACAGAAGACTCAAAAACACCCCAACATAAAACAAAAGGTAAGAACTTTGAAAACCCATATTGCAATTCTGGTGTGATTTTTTATACTTTGAGTCAATCTGAAAAATACCCATGATTTTTCTTCAACAATATATGATGAAAGTCTCACCCTTTTCTTCAGGGTCTCATAAAAGCATAGAAAAACCAAAACTTGAACTTAACCCACGTTCTGTAGTTGAAGTGATTGAAGGGTTTTATGGAGAGCAACGTTGGAGGAGAGAGGAGTGCGCGCTTGCCACTGTCAGAGGTGGTGGCAGATTGTGTTAAACGGTGGTTCAGAGACACACTGAAGGAGGCTAAGGCAGGGGACATAAACATGCAGGTTTTGGTGGGTCAGATGTACTTTAGTGGCTATGGGGTTCCCAGAGATGCTCAAAAGGTGGGTTCTGCAGCCTTCTTCAATTAAGTTCCCTTGGTTTCACTGAATTAGGATTTGGGGTTGTTGGGGTGTTAGATTTTGGTGTTCTGAGAGTTGTTAGTGTTTGCACTTATTATTAATAATACTTTTCTCCTTCAATGTGATATTGCTTAAGACGAGAAGAGGAAGTTAGGGACAATTTAGAAAGTAAAAAAAAAAGAAGTGTTTTTTGTTTGGGGCCGTTTGTAAGAGCATGTAGAGAGCTTATAAAAATAGCTTATGACTCTCGCAAGCTCTTTTCAGCTTAATTAGCTTCTTTGTATAGCTTTTCAAAATAAGTTTTTTTAACTTATATATCGATAAGTTTCCTAATCAAATTTATACTATAAACTTCTTATGCAATAAGAGATTATTATGTAGGCATTTAATTAATTTGTATCCGAACACACCTGTACCTGTACCCAAATGTATGGTAGTAAATTGTAATTGCATGCATAAATGTGTATTTTGAGTGCCATTATGAAAGATTCTATCATGGATGGGAGCAAACAACTTGGTTATTTTTTTGGGCAGTAATTTTGAGGTTAGAGTTTTGTTATAATAAATATATTTATGTTATGCCATTTGTTATTTTAACATATAGAAATAGTAGAAGGGCATGTAAATAGTTTAGAGTATGACATGTGGAAATTCTATGGGCCAAGAGTTAACGTAAAGAGTATGGTGTGATTTTCAATCATAGAATTACAATCTGTGTATTGTGGAATCTGTGGATGTGCTTTTTTTTTTTTTTTTTTTGACATTTTGGTTTCCAAGACTGATGTTATCTATTGGCTATTAAGGGAAGAGTTTGGCTGACAAAAGCATCAAGGACTAGGTCATCGGTTTGGAAAGTAGGCGATAAGCACCCAGGTAAACCCTCACTTGTTTCTGCCGGCAGCTTCATTTTCTTTTCCTCCATAATTGTGACTATACTTGTTTTGATACATCCTTGTTAGGTTATAATGCAAGCGACTCTGATTCTGATGAATTGAAGGAGGATTCTTAATCGAACATAACTTGGTTTCTTGTCTAAAAATGTGAAAGGTAAAGGTTATCCCTATCTCATGGTTATCCTTGTGATGTACTCTTTGTGCCTCTTTGGTTATTGTAATAACATAAAATTGAGGCTTGAGCTCATAAAGTTGTGGGTTTATTCTTCCTACTTGCTTCGATCATTATGTATGAGTTTTCTTTTAGAAGAACTCAAATCTATTTTTGGCTTTAGAATCTGAGATGACATGGATGTACTGTTCAATACAATATATAGGCAAAATTAAGTAAATGTTAATTACTAAATTTCCTAAAATAAGACAAATTATGGTAACTAATAAATAATTTATCCAATTCTCAGAATAATTTACTCTCATTACACAGCAAACAATGTGGGACTGTTACAAAACCCTATTTTCCTATTGGTTTTATTTTGTTCTGTCATACTTTGACTCAGGTTATCAATCTTAGATAACAGTGTGGAGGGGCCGACCCCAAACTGCTATAGCAGTATAGCAGATTAGGATAGGGAAGGGCAATTGTGAGATTGCATGCCAAAACACAGCTTGGATGATGCAGTAAATAGGGGCATAAGGGTTTTTTATTTTTTTCAAATCTTGAAGGAGTTGTGCCTTTGACTGCGGCGAAATTCCACCATTACTGTGCTATAGCTGCTGTGACTGAAAAATGTGATGCGAATTTAAAAACATGTTGACCTGGGCTGCAATGTGCTGATGTGATACTTCTCCGTAGTAGCATGTTATTGATAAGCCTACGTTGACTGTTCAAAATTATCTACTTTGTTAATTTCTCTTGGCTGTCATAGAAATTCACTTATATTTTTAAATATACGTAAAGGTTAAATGCTAGACTATCCTTTCCTTATAAGGTTTAACCTCAGGTTGTTTCCTGAAACTGGCATTAACTATCTTATTGGTCTAACCTGATATTTCAATCTTGGTTTTTTATCTTGTCAGTGAGACATTTATTCACATGCCTAATAAAATCATTTACTGTTTACAAGATAAAATATTTATATAGCAATATTCATAAATACTTTGCTTAGAGTAATTTGGCATGTGATTTTTCCACATATCATTGTTGACTAATTTATCCCTAGCCAAGATGGGAGAAGGCTTTTGGGAACTATAGATGTCAATATTGTTATATTCTACTGCCAGTAACGCCTGAATCTGAAGGTTAACGTGATTTAGACACTCTTCATCTATGTTGCTTTCTGTTCCCCTTATGTGCCAGTGAAATACTTGTAAAGATGAGGGCTAAATTAATTGATATAATTAGAAAAAGGGAGATGATGTGTAATTAGTAAGGTAAGGTGCTGTTCTAATTTTTAATCACTTGTTCAGTTGCACTGTTTAACTATCTCTTTATTTTAAATTATTTTAATTAGTTCTGAAATTTCAGCTTCTTCATTATACCCTTTGTTACTACTTGCTTACTCACCATGACTTCTGATTCTTCTTCTTCTTCTTTGGTACTTTCCATAGAAAGCCACTCTTAAGATGGTGGTGGTAAAAATTTCCTTTTTAATCCAAACTTTTTTCTTTTTTTTTTTATTTGCATCCTTAATACAGTAACTAATTTGGATTTATACTGAGGTAGTTGTTGTGAGCGATTGGGTTTTGATTATTGAAAAGTGTAGAATTAAGTTCCTTGTCATCGCACCCTTTCCCAAGGGCCAATTGCTAATAAGGGTAAGTTTTGGAACACAGCTATTAAGCGCTTATATAATAAACTCTTTTATATGAGAGTTTATTTTATAAATTTGACCATAAATTTTTTTGAAATAAGCTGAAAAATACTTAATAAAAAAGTTACAATGAAAAATTTATTGAAATAAATTGTAAAAGGCTTATTGGAGCTCTTTTAAATGCTCCATAAGTGATGAAACAACTTTCTATTCTGCATAATTTTGTTTCTTGGTTTTAAATTGCAATATTAAATTAAACTTCCTTTTATGGAATATTACTCTTGTGCCATTTTGTTTTGTAGGTCTGCCCGGCAACTCTACCTATGCATAGATAGCCATCGTGGCTGTCATTGTAATTTGCACTTTCACATTTACTCTTGTGCCATTTATGTAAGATTTGCCAGTTGCTACTCTTATTTTTTTTCAATAGAGGGATAGAAAATTGAGTTAACGCTCATATGGTTTGAAAGACAAGTGTCAAATCATTTTGGGTCTAGAGCATGTTAATTTCTTAATTAGTAGTTTGCCATTTACTTAAATATAATCTGTCCTCTAATGTTATTAAATGGCAGTATATGGCTCCCTTGTATTTTTCTTTTAAATGTCAATCATTTACAATTTCCTCTTGAATTGATTTGTCATTCGATAATTCTGTAAAATATTTGATGTTTCATTTAACATATTAAATTCACACAAAGTTGATTATACTTTTTGAGTTCGTCGTAAAAGGGGGCGAGTATAATTTGTATGTGTTAATTGAGCTTGTTTGTTACTAATGTGTATAAATTTGAGGCTTTTTTCGGCTTTACAGATTTGGAAAAATGTTAACTTGATTGAATTTAAGCATATAATTAACTTCTATATTATAAATAAAACTATTCTATTTGTAAATTGAAATATTTAGTGGAATTTGTTTGGTGGTTAATTAAGTATATTATTGTCATGCAATGGTACGGCAAAATACGTGTTTAAGAAAAATATTTTAAAATTTTTTTTTATAAAAAAATTAGAGGAGTTATCACTAAATTTTATTTTAAATAAACATTAAAAAAATTTAAAAATAATATGATCTTTAAAATAAAAAATGAGTTTATGAGTTATTTACATATAGAAAGGATTAGTATTTTACGAAATTCATTTAAAAATGGTTATTTTAAATTAATTGTGTAAATTTATCTTAATTTTAAAAAATATTTGTTTAACTTCTAAATAATAATAATAATAATAATTATTATTATTATTATTATTATTATTTATTTTAAAAGAAGATAAATTATTTATTAAAATATTAATGGATATTTTAAAAAATTATTTTAAAAATTATTTTGACTTGACGGATCTGATTCTCTCTTCTACATATTAAAAATTAAATTTACTAAAAAAGATTTATTTTGAAATTAATTTATAAAATAATATTTAAGATATGAATAACATAGTTATGCATGTATTTTACGAGAAATAATATGAACGTAAAAAAAGATTACACAATTATATTATAAATTGTTAAAATATGTTTTTATTTGTAAATGAAATATTTGAATTTATATTTTTAAGTTATAATTAACGTTGAATGAGAATTTAAGATAATGTAAGATATACATAAATTTTTTATAATTTATTGAAAAATCAAAGACAATATAAATTATACATCAATGTTATACAAATTTGTAGAAATAAATAAAGAAAATTTTAATTATTTAATTTATCAAAATTAGAAATATAACTTAAGAAAATTTAAAATATGAAATTAATTTTATTTTAATAAAAGAAATAAATTTATTTAAATTGATCAAAGAAAATATTTATTTAATAAAAAGATTAAAAATTTCATTTGATAAATTTATATTATATAAAACGTAACGTTGGTACATATAAATTTTTAATAATTTATAACGCATAAAGGTAGAGTCGCTCACGTTAACATTATAAATTATTTCGTTAATAAAATAATTTAGATTTAAATTAGTTAATTTATTTGTAAGTTAGTAATTAGAAGAAAAATATATCTTGATTTATTATTAAAGTGGTTAACTAATTAATTAAAAATATATGATAAATTAATATTGCATAAAGTCTTAGTAACATATGTACATATAAACTTTATCAATTTATAATACATGATAATAGAGAAGCTATACGTTAGTATTATAGATTGATGCAATTATATTATTATTTATTAATTGATTATACAAAAATTAAGTAATTTATTATTCACAATATAAGAGAAAGTAATCATAAATATAAATTAAATCACATCAATATTCTACAAATATACAATAAATAAAATAAAATATTACAATACTAAATAATTAACATGATAATTAAGATATAAACAATGGAATATCAAAAAAAGAAATAGAAATAATTTATTATTAATGTTAGGATGAGATAAATTAAAAAACTAACTCAAATATAATATTGTAAAGTAAATAGTATCAAAAGAATTAAAATAAATAAATAAATTAAAATCAAAACTTTTTATTTAAAATAGGCTAACATAAAAAAAACAAAAATAAATAATAAGAACTCATTTATTAAACAAATTAATAACTATCATAATAATAAATAATAATATTACTAATAATAATGATGATGATGAATAAATAAATAAATAAAATTGAAATAAGAAATTATATGTTGAACTAAATAATAAAAAAAAATAGACTAAAAAAATAATAAAAATTAAAAAAGGATAAAATGGTCTAAAATTTAAAAATTTCAAATTTGAGGAGAAGGACTTTAGGGTTAGGGGTGTATATTTTTTCTAAGAAAAATAAAAGAAGTTATGAAAGGGTGGATGTGAGGTGAAAAGAGGCCATAGTTTTTGGTGATAGAAGTGAGAAAAAGGAAGAGAAAAGAGGAATGGAAGGGAAGGAGCTTTTATGATAAGTTTTATGATTGTGGATAATCATTGATAGAGGAATGGATGGAGAGGTAGTGAGACTTGAATATTTGAAGTAGTGGTTTAAAATTTTTTTTTTTTTTTACTATTTAGGATTGATTTGATATATAAAATATTTATTCAAAATATAAATACGCATGAAGAAGAAAAAAATATATAAAATATATGATAAAACTTATTTGATATTCTTGAAATTTATGTTTGACTTTTGTTCTTCTTTCTTTCCACTGGCCTTTTTTTTTTATATTTTCTAGAAAAATCTCCTCCTTCTCAAAATTCTTAAACTCATTTCTCATGTTTTCTCTTTCCTTCTATTGTTAGGGTTTTCATAAAATGTTAAAAATATGAAAATTTTCTTTTTTATGTATAAAGTAACATTGGTTTAAGAGTTTGATTATTTATCATATTTTATTTTTTTTAAATTAATTCTGAATTTTTTCTATTTTATTAAGACAAATTTTATTTTTTTTAAAATCTTTTATTTTTATTCTCCTTTTATAATATTAAAATTCAGAATTTTTAAAATCAAAATTTTAGTGTTCACAATTGTTAAGATTAAATTTGATTAAAAATGATGTGTAAATAATATAATTTTGTTACAATAATTTTACTTTTTATTTATCTTTTTGTATATTTGTTTTAAATTTTGTAGATTAAAGTTATTTAATTTTTTATATAAATTTTAAATTTTTTATGAATAATTATCTTTATTATTTATATAAAATTTTAATATATATTTATGTTTATATTTATAATTTTTTTTATTTTATATAAATGTTTAAAACTTTTGCAAATATTTATGCTTATATTTTATATTTTTTTTTTTGGTATCATATCACTGGTTGATATCTTTAGGGGTTACGTAGGAAGGAGAGATTTAGAGGAAAGCGAAGGAATGGACAAAATTTTATATTTTAAATAAATATATTTAAAATTAATATTTTTTTAAAAATAAAAATATTAATTAATATATTAATAAAAATTTAATATATTAATGATATATTTATCATTTTAAATAATATATAATTTTTAATTTAAAATTAAAATTATATTCTCTCTTTACCATAGAATTCACTTCAAAAAGTTTCATAGTCGTGAGCGAAAACTCACTAAATCAAAAGTTTAGCATCAAGGCCTCGCTAAAAAAATTATCATTCTTGCAAGTAAACTCTTTGTATTAGTTTTTATTTATTTATATGTTTATTGTTGTTAATATATGTTTTTTAAAAGTTTGACAAAATTATATATAAATGGTATGAATTTTAATTGAATAATTTTAATCAATATCTAATGGCTCCAAAAATTTAAGTCAAGATCGGCTACAATAATTGTCAGTTCCCACCTCCGTCAATTTGCCAGTAGCCTCATTCACACATTAGGTCCAACTCAGGTCAGTGCTTGCAAATTATCATTTTCATTTTCCTTTTACATTTTACTTGTAAAACCAACAACATAAAAAAAATGCAAATAATCAGAAGCAGTTTGAAGATTAGGTAGATTCTTGACCAAGCATCTACAAAATTTGAACGATGGGACTGCGAAATTGACAAGAATTTGCAAATGGAATACCGAGTAGCGAACTGTGTTGAGGTTTGGGGATGAAATTGTTAGGGAGGGAGACAAAGGCTCTTTTCAGATGAGTCTGCGACGCAAGGTGAGCGAGTCCAACGGCGGTGATGGACTGACGCAGCTGCTGAGTCCGTGCAGGTCACTGGTGCTGGCAGGAATCCGGTCAGATCTAGTGTAAATGATGTCGTTGGATAGCGTGACGATGGGGAACACAGTGAATCGCAGAAAAGCGATGAATGTGGCTATGAGTGAAAGGAGTGATGATTGATGTGTGGTTAGCACTAACTAACCTATGGATAATCCAATCTATTATTTTTCGTCTGTTATGGTAGGTGGTGACGGGTGGCATGGGGTTTGCTCTGCAAGAGTTTCTTAACGATGTGGATGAAGCCTACTCCACTACATTTGAACCCAACCGATTTATTAGAAATATAAACGGTAACTCTCTCAACCCATTTAGATTTTCGGTCCAAAGTTAAAAATTATTTTCAAAATGTAAATAAAATTTAATGTTTATATATATTGCATGATTTATTATTAGTAGCACGAGTTATTAATTAGTAATAATATTTTTTATAATAAAACTTTATTATTTTGAAATACTTAATCTGGAGTTAAAATTAATACAAACGAACATATTAATTATCACGTTCATCATGTAATTTTGGAATGCCATATTTTTAACTCTTAATAGTTTAGTAATTTTTAATAAATTTTAATCAATTTAAAAATGTTATAATGACTTCTCTCTTGTAATCATGTTAAATAGATACAAAATGTGCTTTAATTACTATGTTAACATATTTGGTAAGTCTTAGAAAAATTGATTTTGAAATTTAAACTCATATTTGAGTAAATATGATAAATTATAATTTTCGTATTGAACTAAACATTTTTATATTTATTTTTACTACAAACTTTTTCTTTAAAGAAGATTTTAAACATAAGTCACACCAGTTTAAACTCCTTTTAAACAAAATCAAATTTACAAAATTAAGTTAATTCAAATTTAGGTTTGTGTGTGTAATTGAATTCAAAGATCTTATTAAATGGATTGAATCTATAAAATTTCATACAAATGACAAAATAATTAACATTTTATCAAACAATTTTTTCTTAATATATAATATATATTTTAAAAATATAATAGATATTAAATTTAAAATTACATGAATACAAGCGTGAGGTTTGTCTTCAAGGATCTTTGGTGATGGACACTACCACATTAGTGTGCTCCAATGTCTCCAATTCGGCTAGTTTGGCGACCAGCTTTGCGTATCTGGAGAATAATTCATCCATAATATCTTCGCCAAACTCAGCTGATAAAAGAGTTTCGAAAACAGCTCTGATGGACTTGGCTATCAACTCTCCTTTCATTTTGCTATCAACTACAAAATCTACATCCTCTTGAAGGTTTGCATCCCAACCCATTTTGATCGTCTTCAATGTTTCAAGGGTAAAAGATCCTTCTTCTTCTTCAATCACTTGTCTAACTTCATCTATTGTAGGAAAATATATGGGTAGATCAAAGAAGTCCAATTTAACCAAACCCTAAAAATGATAAGGAATTTTTATTCAGAATTTAAATCATAATAACTTTATTTTTCCATTGCTATCTAGAGTCTTGTACTGTTAATTATTTAAAGTACAGATACCATAGCTACACATATCCCATATAACACAATATGCTAATATGATTTAGTTTATATAACACACCGCCGGTTCTTGACCTTTTTAGGGCCCGTGCAAAATAAGAAATTAGGCCCATTTCAAAAAATTTATAAAATGTAATAAATAAAATAAAATAAAAGTATGTGCTAATAATTATATTAAAATAATATGACTTTTTTTAAGTGAATACAATTTTTTCTAATAAAATTACAAAAAAGTTCTTTCATTCAAATAACTCCTATATTATAATTAATTACAAAAACACAAAAAATTATAAAAAATGGGTTCTATGAGTATTTTGAGATGTAAAATTATTAATTATAATATTAACATATATGTTTTCTAAAAATTCCTTCTCGATCGATCAAATTATGAGATTATTCAACTGTTCTTATGACATTGATGACCTTAAGTAGGTTTTGATCAATTTTAGCTTTGAAAAAAATTCTTTTAGCTAATGCTATTGCCTTTGGGACCGTAAAAACAATCTATAAGCGATTAAAACATTTGGATAGTGTAACAGTATTGTTTAATAAAGGAAATAAACACAGTAACAATTCTATTTCAATCGTATTGAGGTAAGTACAGAACTCAATGACAAGAAACCGAAATGAAAATCTCAACAACAGGAAGGATAATGCAGCGATAGAGAGAATCAAATGACATTAAATTTGCCTTTAGCCATGACAATTGCAGAACCTGAATTCAGAAAGGAATAGAAGGAATGAAGTAGAGTGAATCAAAGAAGTTTAGAGGTTTCAGAGAGAATATAGAAGAAGAATTTCAGAGAGGAGTCATACCACACACATTGATCTCAGTGCACGAAATCCTTCAAATACACATTCTCTCTCCGTTGCCTCACACTTTTCCTTTTGTCTACCAATTGCGAATCATCTTCCACGTGGCTTGGCAGAGCAACTGACTTTCCCTCCTTATCCACCTTAGCATTATTTCCCACGCATGTTACAATACTCCCTCCAACAAAAGCAACCTTGTCCGCAAGGTTGAACTTTGGAAAAAAGACTTGAATCTCTTGAACATCTTCCTAAGTAGCTGCAGATGGACCCAAAGAGTCCCATTGAATCAAAACTTGAGGCACTTTCTTTGAATTACGTAGACGAATACGTGAATTCAAGACTTGAAAAGGGTGAACTGAAGGACCCAATTCAGAAGTTCTAAGAGGAAATGGAATATACTGTTGTGAAGGTTCCCCAACAAATTTCTTGAGTAAGGAAATGTGGAAAACAGGATGAATTCTGGCTGTATCTGGTAATTGGAGTTTGTAAGCCACGTCCCCAATTTTAGCAACCACTTCAAATGGTCCAAAGTAACGCATACTCAACTTCTGAATTCTCCTTAAAGTCACTGAATGTTGCCTGTACGGTTGCAACTTCACAAGCACCAAATCACCCACCTCGAAAGACAATTCTCTACGACTCTTGTCGGCTTGAGTTTTCGTATACTGTTGAGCTTTGAACAAATTTTCCTTGAGTTGTTGCAACAGCACATCACGATCACGGAGCAACTCTTGCACTGAAACAGGATCAGCCACATTGATTTCATAACGTAAAACTGAAGGGGGTTCTTTGCCATACAAAGCTTTGAAAGGAGACATTCCAAAGCTTTGATGAAAAGAAGAATTATACCAATATTGGGCCCAAGGTAGCATAGAGCACCAAATCTTTGGATTGTCAAATACAAAGCATCGAAGATACATTTCAAGAGTTTTATTCAAGTTTTCCGTTTGACCATCCGATTGTGGATGATATGAAGAACTCATGGCCAATGTAGTTCCTTGGGCTTTGAACAGTTGCTTCCAAAAAGAACTAATGAATATCCTATCACGATCCGAAACTATAGACTTAGGGAACCCATACAACTTGATAATATTTTGAACAAAAGCATCGGCAACCATCTTGTTGTTATATTCAGCTTTCAATGGAATAAAATGGCCAAATTTAGAAAGTCTATCAACTACTACCATAATAGTAGAAAACCCATGTGAACTTGGCAACTTAGTGATGAAATCTAGAGAGATATCATCCCAAACATGTTGGGGAATGGGTAACGACTACAGCAACCCTGCAGGTAAAGCATGCTCCACCTTAGCTTGTTGACAAACTTGGCATTCACACACAAATTTTCTAACATTCTGTCGCATCTTAGGCCAAAAAAATTGAGCAGCAATTCTTGCCAACGCTTTAGACATTCCAGCATGGCCTCCTGACTTGGAAGCATGAAATTCATACAGCACCTGATTAATCAGGTCTTCATTTAACATCAGTCTTCCTTTCCAGAATAAGGCACCATCCTTAATAACATACTCGTGAGATGACAATGTAGCAGCCACACATTGATCATATAACTGCTTCAAGTGGGAATCTTGCTGAGTTAATTCTGCCACCTTAATTAACCATTTATTGCATGGGATAGACCAAGCCATTAGAAAGCTTCGTGACAACGCATCAGCTGGAATTTTTTTTTTCTGGGCTGATATTGTATAGTAAGTCAAAACCCAAAATTTGGGAAGTCATTGTTGTTGCTCTGGTGTTTGCAGTCGTTGTTCCAAGAGTTCTTTTAAACTCTTTTGATCAATTTTGATGATAAATTTATGGCCCAACAAATAATGACAAAATTTGGCCAATGCTTCCGTTATAGCATAAAACTCACGAGTGTAAGCAGATTGTTTTTGCATACACATGGACAACTTCTTAGAAAAATACGCAATTGGGTGATTGGCTTGACTCAGGACCGCTCCAATTCCAAAACCCGAAGCATCTGTCTCTAAGATAAATGGTTTTGAAAAATTAGGAATTGCCAACACAGGTGCTGTCATAAGAGCCTTCTGCAACTGAGAAAAAGCTGTAGTAGCGGCAGCAGACCAATGAAATGCATCTTTTTTAACAAATTAGTCAAAGGTGCTGCCAACTGAGCATAACCTTTTACAAATCTGCGATAGTACCCTGTTAATCCAAGAAACCCGCGTAACTGCTTCAAATTTGTTGGCTGGGGCCAATCTCTAATAGCATCTAGCTTTGAAGTATCCATGGCCACTCCTTTTCCAGACAGAGTATGGCCCAAATAATCAATTTCAGTGACTCTAAAAGAACATTTAGAAAAGCGAACAAACAACTGATGCTGTTGAAGTATCTTCAGAACCACTTCCAAATGATAAAGATGATCGTTCCATGAAGAGCTATATACAAGAATGTCATCGAAAAAGACGAGAACAAACTTTCTTAGAATGTTCTTAAAAATATCATTCATCAATCCTTGAAATGTTGCTGGTGCGTTAGTTAATCCTAAGGGCATTACAAGCCACTCAAAATGACCATGGTGTGTCCGGAAAGCTGTTTTGTCTCTGTCTTCAGGCGCTAACAACACCTGGTGATATCCAGAACGCAGATCCAATTTCGAAAAGAAAGAAACACCAAATAATTCATCTATCAGTTCGTCTACAGTGGGTATAGGAAAACGATCTTTGATATTTATCGCGTTCAAAGCTCTATAATCAGTACACACACGCCATGAACCATCTTTCTTTTTGACGAGAATTATAGGTGAAGAAAAAGGACTCTTAGTTGAATAATACCCTCGTTAAGCATGTCAGCCACCAACTTCTCAATCTCTTCTTTTTGGCTATGAGGATAACGATACGGTTTGACCTTAACTGGCCCGGAACCTTCAATTAATGGAATGGAATGGTCTTGTAAACGATGAGGAGGTAAGGAAGTAGGTGTATCAAACATTGAGGCATAATGCCGTAGTAAAAGAATTAATTCAGGTTCCATGTCATTAGGCAACTCAGGTAAAGGAATAACCGCAACATTAGAGTCCACCATTTTCATAGTATAAACTTCTGCAATAGAATGAGTAGTGACCATCCGTCGAATATGATGCAAATGAGCTTGCATTGGAATATGGTCCACTTCACCTTGTAATGTAACAAACTTATCATTATGCAAAAATTTCAAGTTCAAGGCTGCATAATCAGCCACATGTGGCCCAATTGTCTTCAACCAATTTGCACCAAGAATAAGATCAGCTCCTGAAATAGGAAGAAGATAGACCAGCAATTAAAACACATTCCCTTGGGCTTGAATAACCAAATTTTGAACTAATCCTTCAGCTGACATATAATTGCCATTCCCCACCATGACTTTAAATGAAGGAGATGGTTCTACAGGAAGCTTCAAAAACTTTGCAATACAAGGTTACAAAAAATTATCTGAGTTACCCCCATCTATTAACACCGTGACAGGTAATTTATCAACATAAGCTAGAAATCTGATTGTACCAACACTTGTACCACCTTTAAGTGCATTTAGAGAAAGGTGATGATTATCAATAATTGATTCTTCAATGATTATAGACTGGCCAGTGTCAGGAGATGCATCACCCTCTTCAATGGAGGATTCATCCAATTGCAAGAACATAAATTGTCTATTGGGACACCGATGATTGAAGCTAAACTTGTCATCACAAAAATAGCACAATCCCTTCTCTCTACGGATTTGCATTTCAGCTGGACTCATTCTTTTAACATTTGCATCTTTTAATGGTGGAGTATTAGGGGTTGGCAGTAGAGGTGGAAGTGATGATTTGGTTGGAGTTTTAAATTGGCTCTGAAAATTAGTAGCAAGGGATGAAGATATAGGAAAATAACGTCGAATAAGTGTGGAACTAGACTTAGTCAACGGAAAATATCTTTCCTCGTATAATTTGGCTAACGCCACTGCTCTCAGCAATGAGGTTGGTGATTGAGCAACCACATCACGACGGATTTCAGCATGTAAACCACTCAGAAAATAATTCAACAACACCTCATCTTGTAAACCAGAACACCTATTAGCAAGAGACATGAACTTCAAATAATATTCAGAAACAATACCGGTTTGTTGTAATTTGAAGAGCTCAGCCATCGTACAATCAAAAGAAGAGAGTCCAAATTGTGACTCCAATGCTGTTGTCAGCTCTGCCCAAGTCTGAACCGCAGCGAGTCGTTGTAACATTTGGAACCACAGTACTACATCCTTCTCAAAATGTATTGCAGCAATCCACTCTATCTGCATCTGGTGTGTGGTGGTAATAAAAAAACTTCTCAGCCTTAAAAATTCACTCTAACACAGAAGATTGGCCATCAAAGTGGGGAAAACCCAGAGAAATATCTTTTACTTGAAAAGCACCTTGTAACAGAGGTACTCTAGAGAAGGAATTGTTCATTGGTGAACCACCATTAAACGGAGACTGTGAATTCGTTTGCAACAGTAGATCCAAAGATTGCTGGATCTGATCCATGCGAGATTGTGCGTCTGATTGCACTTGCTTAGTATGAGCTCGTTGTTCACGATCTCGGTGGTAATCAATTTCTTGATATCCTCAGCTTGAACACGAACTTCAGCCTGTAATTCTTTGAAACGTGTGTTCTCAGCCATGGCATCAATGAAAGCACCGATGTAACAATATTGTTTAATAAAGGAAATGAACACAACAACAATTCTATTTCAATCGTATTGAGGTAAGTACAAAACTCAATGACAAGAAACTAAAATGAAAATCTCAACAACAGGAAGGATAATGCAGCGATAGCGAGAATCAAATGATATTAAGTTCGCCTTTAGCCATGACAATTGCAAAACCTGAATTCAGAAAGGAATAGAAGGAATGAAGTAGAGTGAATCAAAGAAGTTTAGAGGTTTCAGAGAGAATATAGAAGAAGAATTTCAGAGAAGAGTCATACCACACACATGCTGATCTCAGTGCACGAAATCCTTCAAATACACATTCTCTCTCTGTTGCCTCACACTTT